TAGGACAATGGCCACATCTACGGGAAGTGCCTTTCCCAGAGGTGGAAAGAAAGATTTCTATCCTACTCGATACCAACATCCAAGAAGTCTTCAAACCCCTTGATGTAAGAAAGGGAAACCGTAATGAACCACTCGCCATTAAGTCGTGTCTTGGTTGGAGCATACTAGGTGGCTCCTCAAACCTACATTCCCATAGCCAAGGACAAGTTAACCTCATCAGTGGTGAAGACCCTTCCCTAAACAACCAGCTTGAGCATTTCTGGAAGATTGAGTCCTACGGTGCCACAAGGCCTGAAACCAAACCATTATCTGTGGAAGATCGAAGAGCTCTACAGCTCATTGACACCTCAATCAGCCTGCTAGATGGCCATTACCAGAAGGACCTTCTGTGGAGAGATGACAAACCTGTACTTCCTTACAACCGACCTCTAGCCAAAGCAAGATTACAGTACTTGAAGAAGCACTTCCTCCGTGACCCTAAGCTGGAAGTCAAATACAGAAATGTGACTCAGGAGTGCGTAAATAAAGGGTACGCTAGAAAACTGAGCCAAGAAGAAGCTGCTGCAGTTAGTAATATCACGTGGTACATTCCTCACCATCCTGTAACAAACCCTAACAAGCCACGGAAAGTGAGGGTAGTGTTTGATGCCGCCGCAAAGTTCAACGGAATGACTTTAAATGATCAGCTATTGCAAGGGCCTCATCTTACAAGTGACCTTACTGGGGTATCAATTGGCTTCCATGAAGAAGAGGTTGCCTTTACCGTGGATATAGAAGGTATGCTCTACCAGACCAATGTGACGCCAAGCGATACTGATGCGCTTAGATTCCTGTGGTGGCCTAGTAGTACCAACGACCCACCAGAAGATTACAAGATGCTGATCCACATTTTCGGTGCAAAATCCTTGCCCTGTTGCGCCAACAAAGCTTTAAGTATGACTGCACAAGACAATGAAGGAGAGGATACTCGCCTGAAGCCATCAGAACAATTCGTAGAAACTCCTATGTTGACGATGTGTTAAAGTCTGTTCCAACCACAGCACAGGCTGTTCATCTGACAACTGACCTAACCAATTTGCTAAGGAAAGGAGGCTTCCGGCTCACAAAGTTTGCGAGCAATAGGCGAGAGGTATTGCAGTCTATCCCGCTAGAGTTGAGAGCAAATCCAGTACTAGACTTAGATCTAGATCAGTTTCCATTAGAGCGAACATTAGGTGTGTACTGGGCTGCACAGTATGACACTTTCAAGTTTAAAGCTGTACAGGCAGAAAAACCGTCCACCAAGTGAGGGGTGCTTTCGATCATAAGTTCTTTGTTTGATCCACTAGGATTCCTTTCACCCTTTGTGTTTTCTGCCAGGCTTCTGCTGCAGGAACTCCGGAGAGATAAACTCCCTTGAGATCAGCAAATTTCGGAACCGTACCTCTCTCAATGGCAACGTTGGCTGGCTGAACTATCACATGTTGTTGCAATTGATATCCCAAGGTGTTACAAGACTCAGTCATTTGACAACACATCGACCGTCCAGCTTCATAACTTTGTCGACGCATCCAGACGCGGTTACGCAGCAGTTTCATATTTACGTTTTGTTCACAAGGTGTTACTGCTCAATATTTTCACGCCGAATGTCGCTGATGGTTAGGTCCAAAATTCCTTTGGGTACCTGAATGTGCGTGGCAAAGTGTGTTAGTAAACTACGGAAGTCACCACACGTTATGATAGACAGGAGTTAGATACTTTATTGGTAAATACTTCGCAGCATGAACTGAATTGCATATTCACAGATATAAAATAAAAGTTACTATGTACATTTATTCATCTTATTATTAAAAAATACGTAGTTCGTCGTAAGGGGGAACTTGTACATTATTTGTGGTTGTTGACTATTCTGGCTGAAGCAATAAAAAAACTGTTTTTAAGTCTATTTGTCTTGCAAAGTGGCAAAGCAAAGGTACGCTCGTGCCTTAACCTATGAGAGCTTACATAGCGGGGTGGTAAAAGTTTGCTTTATTTGTGCAGAGGATCGTTCATTATGTTGCGAAACGTTGCTGTACACATATTTTCATGGTGGTTTTTCACAGTTGGAAGATTCATAATAGCTAAGGCCTGTTCATATTGCATACCAGGACAACTGATTCTGATGGATCTTTCCTGAATACGCTCTAGTTCTTGGTGGAGGTATTCAAGGAGAGAGTAATGAAAAACTTGTGCTGCATAATCGATTATGGATCGTACACATACCGTATAAAAGAGGCAAAGGTCTTTTGGCGGAACGTGAGCTCTTTTAGCTGAACAAGGAAATAGGTCCTCTTTGCTGCTTTCTTGGTAATCTCAGTTATGTGAGCATTTCATTTGAAATCTTCAAAGATGATAACACCCAAGAGTTTGGTTTGTTTAACCATTTTCATGTGTTTACCATCTATTGAAACTGGATCGAAATCCCTTGGAACTGAAGAGAAACCAATTCGCAGCTCTTTGCATTTGTCTGTGTTTAGTATAAGTCTGTTTTTCTTCAACCACCCTATTACTTGGTTTGTGGTCTTTTGAGCTCCACTGGGATGACCTTTCTTCACAACTTCTGAGGCCGTCGTATCGTCGACAAATTTCCCTAGGGAGGCGTTGGTGATCGCTAAATCGTCTATCATAGTTAAGAAAAGCCAGGGACCTAATTTGGTACTTGAGGGACACCGGATGGAACAGAGCCCCACTCTGATACGCACCCATCAGACATCTTAACTCTCTGATAACGGTCTGACAGGAAATCAATTATCCAGTTTATGATGCTCGGTACTATGGCGAGTTGGCATAACTTATTGACGAGTATACCATGGTCGATCAAGTCAAATGCCTTCCTATAATCGAACATAAGTACCCATGCTGTTGAGCCAGTCCCGTCAGTCCCTGAAGACCATTCATGGAGCATCTCTAATAAGGCAAAGGTTGTTGAAGGCTTTGCTATTGCGCCAAACTGGGCAGGTTTCAATTGACTCAACACAGCTAGTTTCAAATGTTGGGTGACAATAAAGTCCTCTGCGACTTTAGAAATACTCGGTGTTAGGGAAATTGGTCTCAGATGTTTCTTAATGTCCTTTATTGGTTTATTTTTCAGTAATGGAGTGACGTCTGCGCATTTTCATGATCTCGGTAGCTTTTGTTCTTTAAAGGAGGCATTTAGGATGGTTGACACAGGGTAGGCTAGAGACTCTGCATACTCCTAAATAATCCCATTCGGAATGCCATCAGGTCCACCAGCTTTCGCTGCATTAAGATTCAAAAGACACCTAAAGACACCATACTCCGTAGTAACTAGGAACTGTGGGTTGTGGTCTTCGAGAGGAAGCTTTGGAATCTTGATACTCTTCCAGGGGCTCTAATAACGCTTGGTTTACATGGTTGGCCATCTTGCACATGGGTAAACCTTTTAACTCTTCAATGTCCAGAAGAGGAATCAGGTTACTTGATGATTTTAGTGCTCCGCTAAGCCTTTTTTACCTCCTTCCACCAAGCTTTAGGGTCCTTTTCTTACATTCCATTGACTTTGGATTCATAGAAGATCGCTTTGCAAATTTTCTGCTTTTGGTTTACGGCATTTCTGTAGGTCTTAAAAAGGATTGACTGAGGTCCATGATCGTGAAAGGCTCGTTGTCTTTTAGAGATTAGTGACTTCAGTTCACTCGTCATCCAAGGGGCATCGGTGGTGTTGATTTGAACTCTTTTCGTCTCACATGCGCCCCAGATTGACATCTTGCTGCAGCGCTACTCATCATGGTCCCACCTACTAAGAGTAACGTCATAGGTGCTTCGTTTCGTAAAGAGAGTTTGAAATGAAACTCCAGAGTATCCTAAGTCAAGTACACTCAAGCTGGTAGAATTGCAGCAATCAAGACGGGAAATTGTGCGGTTAGTTCAGCAACAACATTTGCTTGAGAGGTACTTGTGTCTGAAAGATGGCAGACAAGTGAAACGTCACAGCAAGTTAGCTAATCTCAGTCCAATCTTGATTGATGATGTTATACACGTGGGAGGTAGGATTCATCCAATTTACCTCTTTGGTGAGTATGACGAATTTTATGTTCCCTGTAGCCAATGCTGCAGATACAATTATTTTTTGTGACTAGAAATACGACACGTGAAATCAAGCAAATAAGGTTAAAAATACAACAAGAATTACACTAATCTCTAGGCCCATGGGAAGACTAGTTTTGTAAAGTTTAAATCTCAGTGTGAAAATGATGGATGTAAGAAGCGTTATCCAGACCAGGCCTCTAGGCATGCAGATCAGTGGCAGCCAGAGTAGGTGTAAGGGGCATTAAAATTTTTAGTGTGGGTTCCTTAAATTAATAACCTTTGATATCTTTCAGTTTCTGTAAAAATAAAAAAGTAGACTTGCATGTAGCTGTTAATCAAAATCATAGGAATCTTGAATAGAGGCCTAGCTGCCATTCCCCCCTGAACACCTAACTAATGGCTACAACAGTTAGTGCTTCTGATTGGCAGCTACATGAATGACCCACTGTTACAATTTTTATAGAAACTGAAGGATATCCAACTTAAATTTAATCGGCATTAAACCGGCAGTCTAAATCCCACATGGATCAACGAACGCTTTTCACTCCACTAATTTATTCGTGTTTTTCTCGTTGCCATGTTCCCACCAATAACGTAGCTCCATTTTCTGCCTTTAAAAGCACACACAACCCACAATTCCTCTATTCGCTCCGACGAAGGGCTAATGCTCAAAACGTCAGCTTTTGTAATTGTTACGGTAGCCAATTTACCATTTCAACTTTGTTGATGTATCCAAATGAAATTTAATCTACCTGTTTCCATCAGTTAGTTAATGCATCAAACTTAAGCAAAAACAATTATACAAATTGAATAATTATAAAAATAATGCCATTTCATGTCAGTAAATATTTCAACATATATTTTACAGTTATCAAGTGACTGATCAAAGTGCAGTAAGCAAGCTACTCGCCTTGCACTTACAAATTTTTCCCAGAGACATGCATTTGAAATGACGCTTCCACAAGGGAAGTATCTCAGGGACACCAATGTTGAGGTTGTGGTCTCTGAAAAAGTCAGAAAAACAACAGACCCATTTGCACTGGATACTATTCCACCACTGAGTTTGCTGTAACAGTGGAATAGCCACCTTAGCTTCTTTGAGAAAGAGGCAAGGGGCTATTACTATTTAGAGCATGGTTCCCACCGTTACAGCACAGCTAATCTTCAGGATATGGTGAAAATGCACTTTGCAAGAGATGTACAAAATGCAGTCCAAGCAGAACTTAACTGGTTTCCACAACTCTACTTGAAACCTGTCAATATGGAAATGTATCCACCTGATAATGCTATCAAAGAATTTCAGGATCTCCTTTACACAAGGCCATTTGATGAAATTCATCAAGAGTATAAAATGACACCAGATGAAATGGCAAAACTCTGTGGTAAAAGATGGATATCAAGTGACCACCTCATGTGGGTGGCAGGAACCATCAATAAGGAACAATCAAACACCTTTTGCTGGGTGCTAAATACAGTAAATGACATTGAGTGCCTGGTAGAAAGGAGACTGCAATCTCATAAACCTAGCAGTCTTGTTTTCTTTGTCAGTGTTGCTTTAAGTACAGGAAAGACATGCAGTACTGGCCAGTGACCATCATCGAGGAATTCACTGGACTTTGTGCCAAGTAGACCAACCTAACAAGTCTGTTGTCTATGCTGACACCCTTGGTTGGCAAGTTCTAGAGGGGCTAATGGAGAAAGTCAACCGTTTCATCATTGCTGTCTACAGGGAGGAAATAACTGATTATGAGATGAACATTTGCTACAAACCTGAATCCACAGTCAATGGTCATCCCTCATGCACACCTTCATGTGCCAAGTACCCTGTGCAAACATGCTCAAATGTCTGTGGTGTCATTTCTATGGTAATGGCTGCTGTTGCAACCCATAAAAAAGAGCTTTTCTTAGAAATGATTTCGAGGTAAATAAAAAGAGATATACCAATATATAGTAACTTTTTCGTGTACTGAACTCTCAAGAGCACAAGAGCCTTAACTGTACTAAAGTACCTGGCATAGCCGCTAAAAGAGCTATATTGCAAAGGAGTGGATTGTGCTGGAACTGCACTGGTGGAGGTCATGGCACGACACAAGGCAAGTGAAGAGGATGTAAGAACTGTAACCAGAAACATCACACCTCAATATGCGATCAAGAGAAATCTACACTTCATCAATTTCAGAATCTAAGGATTGAGAAGAGTATAAGTGCACTTATAAACCACGCCAGTACCCTTCATCCAACAATACTAGCGAAAATTGGCAAAAAGGAAGTCTGTGTGATGTTTGATTCGGGGGCTGGGAATCCCTATTTGTGCATGCATGTAATAACAGAATTTAACTTGAAACCTGTGGGGAAGGAGCAACACTGCATAGAGCAGATGTACTGGACAATGGGAAAATCATAGAAATATACACTGTTACTGTACCTTCACTTGCTGTCGAAGGGTTTTCTATTGACATGAAATGCATTAACGCCCAAAAAGACATACTAACTCACCTGCCAAACCTAGACATCAAGGCCCTAAAGAAACAGTGCAGCAGATTCAGGAGATTAACCTTTACTGACAAGGCGACAAGAAGCGACACTATGCCAATCCATGTCATTCTGGGGGCAGCAGACTACCAATGGATCCGCACTACAGAACCATTAATCCTGGGGGCGAATCCTTATAAAGATCTGGGCGCAGAATTCATGATGCTTGGTTGGACTGTTTATGAAAGTTGACCAGTTACAGAAGGTGTCACAGCAGAATAGCAATTCCTCCTCACGACCGGTCAAGAAGAGTTTGATTGGTTGCTGGATGTCTTAGGGCTCAAAGATACAAGGACAACCAAGAACAAGAACATATATGAAGATTTTCTCCAGCAGCTAAATAAGACACACAGGGGGTTTATGAAACAAGGTTGCTGTGGAAAGAGGATCATGTACAACTTCCGACTAACAAGAACCTATCAGTGGCTCAACTGAAAAGTACAACCAGGAAACTAGAGAGAATGGGGAAGCTGGAGGACTATGATCAGTTAATGCAGGAACAAGTGCCCGCTGGAATTATTAAACCTGTACCCCCTTAAAATAGGCGAGGTAGTACATTTCATTCCCCACCAGGCAGTCATCCGAGAGCAAGCAGAAACGAAAAAGATGAAAATTGTCTACAATTGTTCATTAAGGGCCAACATCCATACCCCCTCTGTCAATGATTGTTTGGAGACTGGACCGCCACTACAGCCTCTCCTGTTTGACATTCTCTTCGGCTGGTCGCCGCACACACGTTAGCAAAACTTGAAAACAAAGTAAGATGAGCATTGGCTTCTTCTCCCATTACAGCCTACCATAGCTGGGTGGACAGAATTACAGTACTCTGCTGCCTGGCGAATAGTGGAGAGTGGACAAGTTTCGTACGCAATCGAGTGAAGATAATTGGTGAGCTCACAGAGTCAGGAACTTGGAGGTACGTCCCTACGACGGAGAATCCCAGTGATCTTGGTACACGAGGATCAGCTTGAAACAAGCTCCAAGATTTTTGGCTAAGGGGACCAAGCTGGCTATGAGATGAGTCCGCTAGACCTGAACAACCAGCCATTCTGGAAACAAAGCAGAGAGACAAAAGAAAGAAACTTTGCTACTGGCTGAGGAAAAAGCGCATGGAACTGTCAATGACTGGACAGAGGGTCTGTTCAACAAATTCCCTTACTGGAAGTTACTGCGCATAACGGCATATGTGAATCGATTCATAGCTGGTTGCAAGAAATCAAGACGGGTTGGACCAATCACCAAGTCTGAAATTGGGGAAGCAGAGAAAAAATGGATCCAGATCAGACAAGAGACATGATGAAAACTGACCACAGACTAGCCAAAGATGAAGATGGATTGATTAGGTGCAACTAAAGAGTCTATGGGTATACTCCCATCTTCATTCTGAGAGAAGAAACGTTAGCACGTCGCATCATTGAACACAACCATGTACAAACCTTTCATGGAGAGTGGCAGCGATCATGAACAAAGTACGCCAGAGGTATTGGGGTCCAAGACTGAGATTCGTTGTTAAGAGTGTTCAACATAGTTGTAACTATTGCAAGAAATACCACGCGACAGCCCTAAATGCTCCACCCACCTCAGCCTTACTGACGTTCAGGACAGAATTCACTGAACCTTTTAAAGTCACTGGGGTAGACTCTGCTGGGCCACTCCTGTACAAATCTGGAAGCAAGACTGGAAAGGCTTATGTTGCGCTGTTAACACACGCAAGTACAAGAGCTGTACATCTGAAGCTTTCTAAGGAAATGACAGCTAAAGAGTTCCAACGAGGGCTACAAGAGTTCGTTGTGCAACGAGGTGCACCAGATCTCATTGTCAGTGACAACACCAAGACCTTCCAAGTAATAAAAAAATGGCTATCGACCAAAGAGAAAGTCGAGAACCTCTTTAACTATCTAGCCTCAAAGGAGATCAAATGGAGATTTAACATGTCCTCTGCGCCGTGGCAGGGCACAGCCTTTGAGAGGTTGATTGGCATCATGAAGAACGTTCTTTCTAAAGCAGTTGGGGGGGGGAAGCGTTGTTGAAATTTGAAGAACATGACGAGGTTTTGTTGGACGTCGAATCATTCCTGACCAACCGACCCCTTTGCTACATGGGAGAAGAATTTGAAACACAGATGATCACACCAAATCTACTATTGCATGGGGAACCAGCACCTTACCTTGAAGAAAATTGCGATGAGATGAGCGACAGGGAAGAGATGACCAGATGACTAAGATATTTGAAGGCTTGCTGAGATAACGTCTGTAAACATTGGCTAAATGAGTACCTTCAGGCCTTGTAGGAGCAATTCAACTCTCGGCCCGAAACATGACATGGCACAACTTGTATGAAAAAGGGTTCACTGGTATTGATAAAAGACACAACAAAGAACAAAGAAACCTGGAAAGTTGGGTATATGTTAACCCAATCTTTGGAAAGGATGGAGTCACCAGAGGATACAAGATCCTAACTGGCAGTGGGTACGTCATCGAGAGGCCTTAACAGTTAGTATGTGATTTGGAAATCGGTGGCATAGGTAATGACTCTAGTTCTTCTGAGAGTAACACCGGACCAAGCAGCGATGTTTGTCGGCAGCCACCTATGGTCAGGGCAGGGCAATGGGCAGGGCGACGGGCAGGGCGCACAGCAGGGATCGTTGGGTAAGAATAATGGAAAACAAGAACAAGGAGGACTGAAGTACCGACGCCGAACTTCCTGTAGATGAGGTTGCGGAGAACGTTGTGCGACAATTCGTCACGCTATGAACTCAATATCAGAACTATTCTATGCATTTATAATTGAATGAATTCTCACTCTTTTCCACAATCATTCTGATTTTAGAGGACACATTCAGCAGTGGGATTAATTCAGTAGCCAGTTGTGTTAAAGTTATTTCGAACTTTAATAGGGGAAGAGTGTAAGAAATGTTTTGACTGCATGACATGTCGTGTTACAGCTTTAAGACTCGTTACTTTTGCTTTCAAGTTGCTAAGTGATTAACTATTGAGTTTTGAATCATTTGACAAGTAGATGGGTTTTCGGAGGCACGTAGGGAGTAGCTGAGATCTTCTTTCGCTGATTGTGACATGTTCTCAGATTTTTGTGGCTAGTGCCTCAGAACGAGGCTCAAGCCACAATGCCATTGCCCTGGTGTATGTGTGTATGCGTGTGGGTTAACTTCGTGACTGCAACTCCAATTTGGGTTAACTTCGTGACTCTCCGCTTCTTCGGCGATGCGTTATCGATCGCCGGGCCACCTCTTCGTGTGCCATATGCTCAGAGCAACTCCAAGCAAATCGGCTTGAAGGTAAGTTTTCCTCATTTAAGTCATGTTTTTATACTATTCTACATCAAGAATCAAGCTCACTTTTTGATCCCTCTGTGAAGTGTTTCCTATCAAAAGTTTTTCTAGCTTTTTTCAAGATTTAGTATCTTTGTTTTTGAAGAAAACAACTGAAGTGTGTAAGCGTGTTCTGTTGACTAATCATGGCCAAAGAGCTCTTTATCCTACCAAATTCTGTTACTGTGTCCACAAATTGGCCACGTCTACCTGCTACAAAAGATTGTATTCTAATATGGGAACAAAAAATCTCTTTAAAGAGAGCCAAAAATCTCTTTGGGGAGCAAAAATAAAGCCCATTAGCAGGTGCCAAACAAATTCCCTTCGGGGAGCAATAAAATCCCTTTAGGGAGCAAAAATAAGGCTTGTTTGCGGGTGCCAAACAAATTTCCTTTGGGAACGATAAAATCCCTTCGGGAGGCTGTATTGTCCAATCTTCAAACTAAGTCAAGTGATGTTGAGATAAACTGCTCGTGCCATATGAGGTCCAAATTTGATGCTTTATCAAAACAAAACGACACAAGTACTTCTATGAGAAGCTTTATGAAAGTCGTGCCTGTTTCAAATAGTTAACAGAAGATAAACGATGATAATTCCAATATAGAGCATGGTAATTCCTTAGAGCAAGTGAAATTCAAAGATGTAGTACAAATGGCATGTGCCAAAAATCCCAGACATTCTTGATTGTGCTCTAAGTCACCTAATTGAAGAACACAAAGAGAGCCATCCAGAATAAAAATAAAAAAGATCATGATTGTATGTAAAAATAAAAAACTTCGATCCAAGTATAAGAAAATAGTGATAAGGTGAGTTCCCATTTAATCTGTTTTACATAAAATTGCCAAACATTATAAGCAATGGAGATTAAGGTATATTCAGAGACAAGACAGTTTCTGTTCACTCTGTTTTAAGAAAAGTAGAATTTCTCCTGTGACACATAATGTATCTATGCAAAAACTATTATAATTTGGATATATCATCAAAGTTGAAATGGTAAATTGGCCACCGTAACGATTACAAAAGCTGACGTTTCGAGCGTTAGCCCTTCGTCATTC